ACTGGCCCCCTGTATTCCATTCCCCAGGGCCAGGACCCTTAGAAACCAGTGTTGAGCTAGCATAACCTGCTAACATTTAGGCATCTTACTGCTGCTGGCTTCTGTGCTTTCCACAGCCTGGGATACCCAGGGCTCAGTGCAGAAATATGGATTTCCTTCTCAGTTTACATATGATAAAGCAGATTCAGACAAGTGGAGTGACTTGTCTAAAGACGCAAGCTGAAATCAAAAGGGTTGGTTATGACTATCAAAACATCACCAACTATGTCCCTTGGAGCCTACCTTGTAGTTGAATGGGTAAGCCATACATAAATGAACAACAGCGTATAGAAAATGAAGACATCCCACACATATCATGTTAAGTTCTATGAGGTATTTGGAAAATGTGTTTCTGAACCCATGGCCCTTTCCACTCAGTTCATCTGAATATCTCAGACTTGTGTGCAACCATGAGCCACCATTTGTCACTAGACCAGCTAGAAAACAGCAAAAGAGAGAAGGCGGTGAGGAGACAATGAACAGATGAAGGGAAATTATATTGGGTTGTAAATTAATATAAGGAAAAGGCAGCCATCATGCTGCACCCCTGCAGGAGGACCCACCGCTGTCAGAGGAACAGACAGAGTCCCCAGGAACTCCAGAGAAGCAGCCTTAGCCTCTGCTGCAAGTGCCAATACCTCCTCCACCCAGAACAGTGCGAGTGGGGTGTTAGTCTGCTCCAGTTGGCTTCTGACATTTCTTAAATCCCAGGATCACAGTCAGGCTTATACCACATCCCCAGAAAGGTATGTGCTGCTCAGAATCCAGACGCACCCAGCCCTTTGCTGCAGGAACTGAGGCCTTGGGAGGGTTTGTGTGTATACTCAGGGCCCAGAGGCACCTGAACATTGGAAAGAATGCTCTTTGACAAACGTGGTTTCTGCTCATCCCCTGTGGGCCCTTAGATGTCTCTATGGCAGTTCACTGTATGCTCTGAAGGTATTAACCAGCTGCTGCAAAGTTTGTCCAGCACGCAATCTCACAGGCTGTGCCATGACTGGGTCCCAGGCTTGTTACTAAAAGGCAGCTGTCCCGTGTCTCTGGATTCTTGCCAGACCCCCTTTTATTAGTTCCTGGACTCAGCATTTTGTTATCATTTTATTGTAATGAGGTCACAGTTAGATTATGGTAGGCTAACAAACACGTGCCACTGTTTACCTCACTATGCAGCCCTGGCTGGCCTGAAATTCCTTATGTAGACCAGGCTGGCCAAGAACTGAGAGATTTGCCTGCTTTGCCTCCCAAGGGCTGGATTAAAGTTATGGGCCTGTTTCAGGTCTATCTCAGATATTTAGACAGCTTACCATGAGGGCTTTGAACCCATTCTTGGAGAGTGAATGGGGACCAGTAAGAAAAGTTTCTGTGGTTCCTAGGAGGCAACATGAGCAGAACAGACCTTTGGGCTGGGTTCCCATCCTCTCATTTGTCTTGTTTCTTCCTGACCTCGGTCTCTTCAGTGTCACCGAGGTTAATTCGACCATCTATACACTCTATGACTTTAAGCAGGGTCCAATCATGTCTGCCAAAATGTGCACATGCTTTCCTATCTTCCTTACCACATTGGATCATCCTGCACACTTCCTCTCCCTCATCTGTGTCCTCCCTGGGAGGCCTCATTGAGTCTTGCCTGTCAGCTGGACACTGCACTGAGCCCTACCTCTGTATGCCATCGCCAGTATGTCCTGTTCAGCCCAGCCCGTAGCTTCTGCATGGATCCTTCCCTCACTCTGGCCCCCAGTGTTCAGGCGTGTCCACAAACCCCCTGTCTTGCTCTTGCCGCCCCTATGGGTCTGTTCTCAACACACTGCATTACAGCTGCTTGAGCTTTCTCCTTGGTTCTATCTTCCCCCTTCGGTCTCTCTCCTCCTGGACTGTCTGGCCTGCAAGCCACACTCTGATCCCCACTTTCCAACCTTCCTCATCCTTGCGGAGTCAACTCAAACCCCGACTTTGTTCTTCCACAGCCAGCTGTGCTTGCCCCCAGCACCCCATCCTGCTGTGCTGGCACCACTATCTGTGTGTTCCCGGCGCCTGCCCTGCTGAAGCAAACCACTGAGGCCGGTTGCAGAGCCTTCCCCCACCCCAGAGGAATGATAGCATCCTACAGTACACACACACACATTTGGGATGGTCTGTGTGAAGGTTTGATCCAGTTCAACCTGGAAGAAAAAACAGGCTTCATTGGGACAGCTTACACAGGCCAGCGCTCAGTAAGGGAGGGCTGATCTCTCCTCCTTCTCGCAGCCTCATGGAGCAGAGTGGTATGTCACACCCAGGATGTGCAGTGTGCATCTGCACCACAATGGAGGGCCCACCTCTGTGTGATGCTCTCTTTTCATGCCAGGAAAGCAAAGCAGCCTGTGCATGTGGGAATAGACAGACTTCTTGGTGCCAGGTAGTCTGCATCAAGGGTCACAGCTGTTTCTTAAAGCCATCTAGGAATTTGGGGTTCCCAGAATATAGGGCCCAGGGAGTCTTTGGAACATTGCAGTAGCTCTTCCTGAGATGAAATCTGAACCTGGGTGCTGTCTCTTCCAGAAAGCTTATTGTCTAGATTGATGAGAGGAAACCCCAGGGTCAATTTCTGGCAACTCCGTCTAATTATATCTATCATAGTGGTTGTGAATGATTGATTGAGATGGGTAGGTAAATGACAGAATGGATGAAATCATGGACATATTTGTGGATAAATGTTTGGATATGTGTATGGATGGGTAATGAATGGGTATATGGGTAGATGCATACAAGGGTGAATGGGAAGAAAGGTACGTGCATGCATAATTATTAGATATGTGGGTGGGCAAGTGATAAAAAACAAAAGCATAGTGTTTATGAGTGTATGAAAGCACGTGGAACCTAGTGGTGCCTACCCAACTCGCATTTGTTCCCTTTAGTTTTCTCCTCATCACACCTCCAACTGAGTGAGATTCTGTGGAGTGGTGGAGGAGTACGGATTGGAGTGGAGTTGTACAGGTTTCGGGGAGCATGGATGGGCATGGAATAGTGTCCTGGTGCTGAAATGCAACTCTAAACTATCCGGGGATGGAGTCTGGAGGTGGACTGAGTGACTGACAAGCTATAGTAGCGCCTTCGATATGCTGCTTTCCTCTTCAGTATGCAGGGCTCTGTTCTAACCAAGCACCATCTGACAGGAAGACGGTGAAACTTCCATGCAGGGTAGATTGGTCCTGCTCCCTAGAACAAGCAGTTATATCTGCAGGCCAACTTTGGTGCTAAAATAAGTAGGAAGTAAAGGACCTGAGGTGCTGATTAAACCCAGCTGAACCATCCACCCCCTCCCAATTCTCACCACCTGCTTGAGGGCTTCAGCAGCAGCATGCCAGTTGGTAGTTCTGAGATTTTAGGGTGTCTCAGACACCCCTGGAATTGTGTAGATAACACATTCCTAGGTACTATAGCCAGGTACCTACTTTAAGCAGGTCTGAGTGGGGCCTAGAATCTATGATTTTTTACATTGAAGCCTCAAATTGTTTGCCCAGTACTACTCACTGTGAGCCTGGTCTTCCCTGAGTGTATGGGGATGGGAAGAGTAACAAGATGCACTGGCCTTATGTTCTGGCCTAGTTTCCCACTGGGCCCCAGAGCCCCTGGCTCGGAGTATCCCCCACAGAAGGCCCTCATGGGAGGTAACAGGCCTTCATGGGCAGTGATCCTCTCTGGTATGTGGCTTATATGTGTGTGGTCCCAGAGCTCTTCTCCTTAGCCTGGTAGAGGAGAGGAAATGGGTAGTAGGACCCTGAGCTGTGTGCCTCCTGGAGTCTGTGGACTGGCCTGGCCTGCTTTGTGACCTGGGACAGACTGCTGCTGGTGTATTTGGGCTCCAGGAGGAGGCAGCATCATAAGGATGAACAGTGGAGCGTGAAAGCAGCCAACCAATCTCTAGCAGGTAGTGCCACCAGTGTACCGGGGTAGGGAGCGGGGAACCATTGCTAAGGAGGAAAGCGTGTGAGCACCAGGAGTCGGTTCTGTTGACCGTGGTTGGGATAAGAGCTGCATGCTAGCTAAGCACCAATCTTTTTTCTAGGTATTAGAGGAGAACATGCAGTCTGCCCCAATAGATAATTACATAAATAGATAAAGGAAGGAGGGAGGGAGGGAGGGAGGGAGGGAGGGAGGGAGGGAGGGAGGGAAGGGAGGGAGGGAGGGAGGGAGGGAGGGAGGGAAGGAAGGAAGGAAGGAAGGAAGAAAGGAAGGAAGGAAGGAAGGAAGGACAGGCTTTTATATTCACTGCCTAGTGCCTGCTCAATTCTCCATTGGTTGGTTTCTTCTGTTCACCTACAGTGTGTCTTTGGACAGAGAGCTATTTTCCCACAAGAGAGATCTCAAATGTCTGGATCCACATATTACCTCTCTTGGGGGCAGTGTTTTTGTTTTTATTTTGGATGTCAGCTAGTCCCCTCACCAAAGCCAGCCTGCTGCCCTTGGGGCTAGGACTCAGCTGGCTCACCTTCTCAGCAACCCTGCTGTCCTGGTATTATTCCCCTGGAGATCAAGACTATATGAGTTCTCACTTTAGAAGGCACAACAAAATGTTAGCTGGTTAAATGAGACTTTGGGGGTAAAGGAAGAATGTGAATTTTTGCATGGGGTTAATTTACATTCTAACAGTGGTGGCATTGGAGCTCTGGTGATGGAGGGGGCTGTGGGTTTCCTCAGCTCGCAGGCTGCATGTCCAGCCCTCTTCCACCTGTGCTCGCCATCACTGAAACACTGCATTCTGGGAAGCATATCACTAGGCCATTTTGTCACTGAGAAAACATCACAGTGTACTTTCATGAGCAGTGACACCTGTGATGTTACAGGCCATGTGCTTTGTTGGGAGCCCACTGAGCACGCCGCGTATAGCAGACTGAACCGGCACTGAACTCTCCTGTGCCTGAACTTCCCGGATCCCAAAGTTAATGACTTATTTTCCTCTCTTTTCTATTTTTGTTTCCTAGGAACGAGTGGAATATCTCTTTCTCATCATTTTTACCGTGGAAGCATTTTTAAAAGTAATTGCCTATGGACTTCTCTTTCACCCCAACGCTTACCTCCGCAATGGTTGGAATTTACTAGATTTTATAATTGTGGTTGTAGGGTAAGTTCAGAAGTTTCCTTTTCCTAATATTACCCCCCTCCCCGTGCCTTTTCCGCTCTGTGTTCGTACCAATGATTTGATCTAAGAACTTGCCTTCACGCATAGAAGGATCTGTTCAAACTCACTTTGAATTCAGACTGTGTCCCAAGAGAGAAATTATAAACTTATCACCCCTCCCATATGCCACTTTTGTCATATACAGAGAACCCATGTGTATACATATGACCATAGAAAGGTGTGTAATTGCACGCACACACACACACACACACACACACACACACACACACACGACTCTGAGTGCTCTGGATCAGCATTCTGTTTGCAGATGAGGAGAGCCTTTATGTTTGAGGACTTTTATTCACTTTCCAACCACATTTGACCACTTCTCCGCTATTACCCTGAGGCATTACTAGTACCTGCTAGTACATGCAGTCTATGAGTTTGGGACATGTTGGGGACATGCATTGTGTTGCCAGAGTATGGTCCAGGGGACACACATGCATGCTGCCTATCCCCATCCTCATCTCCAGAAAACCAGATTGCTCAAGACCACTGGGTGCAAAGAAAATAGGGAAGTCTGAACGATGCCGGTGATGAGTAACCAAACCAAGACCAGATATACCATTCTCCAAACATGCCACCCTGAAATAGTGTGTTGGGAATCTAAATAAAAATTGGAAGCCATTGAGAATAAGAAACTGAAAGCTCAGCCCCAAACCGGATATCTAGACCAACACCATAACCACCACCACCACTTACTACCCACCACCACCACCAATGCCACCACCGCCACGGTGTAAGAATCATTGTAAAATAGGGAGAAGAATGAACGTGAGAGTTAGAGTGCTGTGAAGTACTGTCCTGTGGACACAACATGGCTGTAGCACTCATGAACTCATGGCACCCGTCATTACCTGCACAAGAACAAGCAAATATCAACATAGATGGAGCCGACGTCCTCCAGGCCCCATGTCTTACTGAGCAGTTGATAGATGTCAGGGGAAGGAGAATTACTCCTTTTTGAGGGTGTGGGCACTGTAAATTTTCCATGCTCCAGTGGATAGAGCAACACTCCTACACGTATGGGTAGTGCTAACTGACTGGACTCAGTGATTTATAAATGAAAATGCATACAGCTAAGAGGGAAATGTGTTGGAGAAATATGGGAGAGCTGGGAGGGTAAAGCAGGGGTAGGTATAATTATATTTCATTGTATATATGTATGAAAGTCTCAAAAATTAAAATTATAACAATAAAAAAAGCTCACATAAATTTAAGTTTAAAAAATCGGAAGCATGATTAGTAAATTCTCCAGAGAAAACTGACCAGCATCTCTCTTGGCTGAAAGCCAGAAATGTCGCCAGGACTCTTGCTGGCTTCATTGGAGCCAGCAGCCAATGGTGCTGAGAGTTTGGGTGGCCCTGATCTCTAGCTGGTTCCTGAAAGATTCTAGGGTCACCCCCTTAGGGAGGCAGAGTGCGAAAGTAGCACTGAAGGCCTGCTAAGAGAAAATGCATTCTGGCATGAGTGGAGACCGAACATTCCAACAGGACCAACATTCCAACAGGACCTGGCCCATGTCCTGGCCAAAGGGACCCCCCACCCCACTCCCCCAGCCCCCCGGGAGGCAGGCTCACTTTAAACTCGCTGATGAAATGATGCAATAATTAATTCCTTGTGCTAGAGGACTAACTCAGGCATGCTGAGTCAACCATTACTAAATAGGCACTGCCTCCCTATTACAGTTTCTTTCTACAAGATAGGCTAGAAAAATACCGCCATCTTAATTACTTTGAAGAAGAACAATGCTCCAAAATGAGAAGAGGGATCTGTAAGAAACATTTATTCTGAGTCTTTTCTATCAAACACTATGTAACTTGTGTTTTCTGATGAGGAATTCAGATTCATTTTTTTTTTATCTTCCCCAACTTATAAAATCTTTAGGCAAATGTTTTCATCCCACCCGCCCCCATAGCCTTTTGTTTACGCACACGCCTTGCTACTCTTGTTTAAAATGGATGGCCCTTCCCTGATCATTCCCCCTGCACCTCCTTCTTTTAAGAACCCCCCCCCAACTGAGGTCAGACCCCAGACATTGGGAAAAGGCACAGTTACCACCTGCATTAGAATGAACATCAAGTGCCCCTCCTGTCTCTCTGTGATCTGCTCTTCAGAGCCCGCCCTCTTGACCAGGAGTAAAGTGTTGCCTTGTTTAGACACTTGAAAAAATAGAGAGGTTAGCAACTTCCCCATAAGATTCTCCATAAAATACCTGCTCCTAACGGGCCTCTGTATGTGAGGGGAGCATACCATACCGTATTAAGACAGTGGTGGATTCCAGCCATACTTGAGTAGTTGGAGAATGGAGCTACCTTTACAGCTGCTCTCACCCAACCACATGCCAGATCCTGTGAGCTGGCACCACTGGAAACCTGGCAGTCACTTCCAGGGTAGCCACTCTGCCAATTAATTTTTCCCAAGTCTGGCAGGCTCCAGTGCCAAGTTCAGGGTGTCAGGAGGCTCTTATCCCTGGAGCTTATTTTTGGTGAGTCCTTCATGCTGTCCCTGTGGAGACCCAGGCGTTGGTGGCTTCCCCAGAGCACCCGTTGCTCATTATTTTGAGGAGCAGCTAATTGTTTGTCAGTGCAGAAAATAACACAGGAGTGAAGACAGTCTTCCTAGTGATTTCCTTGTCCTTGGCCATCCAGACAGTTCCTAGGGGTTAAGGTTTGTTTGTTTTTGTTTTTTTGTTTTGTCTGCCAAACATGGTTTGGTTGTTGAATGACATGCTTTGACCACATGAACATTAGGTAGACTCAAGAAAAGCAAGGAGCACTGAGTCATTAGCCAGGTCTAGCTAGGTCACAGATTGGGAAAGGAAGGACGAATTTATGTGAGGGGTTTCACTGTTTTATCTCCTGCCAGAGTAAACTTAGACCTGACTGAGCCGAGAACGCTGTAGCAGCTATCTCAAAGGTGTGCTGTTCCCAACCCTCTAAACCTTTCGGAAACTTGGCATCTTTCTCAAGATCTAAGTGTCCTGGGAGCTTAAGACACAAACAGAAAAGAGCCAGTGCTCTGCGCACAGTGGGGCTCTGGCTCCTGCAGGGCCCTTATGTACATACTACACTTGCTTATCAAAGGTGCTGTGTGGACGATTTTTCTTTGGGCTGCCAGCTCTCTCTCCCTCTCTCTCTCACACACACATCTCACATTATTATTAATTATGAAAGCTTTGCATATAGCTTAGGCTTGCCCCAGTAGCTCTTATAACTTAAATTAGCCTATTTATATTAATCTACATTTTGCCTTGTGGCATTTTACCTTTCTTCCATCTTGTGTATACTATTTCCTCTCAGTGTTCTCTATCATCTCTCCCATGCCTAGACTTACCTCCTTCTCCTCCCCCCCTCTGACCAGAAGGCCTCCCTAACCTCTTCCTGCCTAGATATTGACCATTCAGCTCTTTATTAAACCAGTCAGAAGGCACCTTGACAAATATACATCTTCATAGTATAAAAAGTTATTCCACAACAGTGTTGAGTATCATCAGATGTGCCCTGCCCATTTATGGCCTTCTCTGGAGCAAGGGAAGTGGAGACAAGACTAGTGAGGGACCTCAAACAGGAGCCTTAGAGGTGGCATTCAGCACTTTCCTGCCCAGACCACAGGAGAGTACATCAGTGGCCAACAGTTGTCTATTTGTACTTTGTTGATCCTTGCTTCATCCCTTAGAATGTGGCTTCGTACTGCTCTAACTCAGCCAACTTTTCACGGGGTGAGCCCATGTTCTACTCCATTCCTGGGGTCTGGGCTAAGATATAAAGTATCCAGACTTGGGATTCCTTAAATAACCCTTGCTCATCTTATGGTCTACTATGACCTTTGGGGTATCCCTCATTGATCTCACATGAAGCCATATTAGATTTCTATTACCAGGGGTATTAGCCCTATGACTTTTACATCAAGTCTAAATCCTAGCTTATCTTTCTAACTAGAAAAATATCCCCTGCCCCCAGAGGATGCGAGTTTCTGGCCACACCTCCTTTTATCTCCCTTACAGTAGTAAGTGGATTCTCCTTTGCCTCTCTGTCTTTTGGGAAATCTTTCCTCCTGTACCTTCCTCTGCAGCTACTTCTGGAAAGGTTTCTTGAGACCTCCTACAAATCAGAAGGGACTCTGATGACAACCAAGTGCCCTATGTATGTCTGATTGCCATTCTGGTGGCATGAGATAAGAATTATTTCCTTCCCAAACCTTGGTCTGATGAGAAGAGGGTGACTGAATGAACATAGAGGGGACTTCAGAATCTTGAATGTGAGCCACCTGATCCTGCACAACCCAAGAAATAAGGGCTCTTCAGTTGGTCCCCATTCAAGAGATGCTAGCCAGCCCCAAAGCCTTCTGCTATATTGCTAGCACCCTTTTGTGATGGCGGTTCTGTGTCTCTACTTCTCAGGGATCTCTGGAATTTTATTTTCATCTCTTAAAATCTCTAATGCCTGGCTGTAGAACTACTTGCCATGCCCCCAGCCTAACAGGACGTTGGAAGCAAGCCCTCAGGAATCAGGGGCACAACCTTAAATCCAGATGATACAAACTGGGTGCTCCTAGCCAAGAGCACATCCTCCAGCATGTTTGAATTTCCTACCTGTCCTGCATTAAAAACAGACCCTTACTAAAGTGTTCCAGGCTGGAGGGGGCAGGGCTACAGAGAAGACAGTCATAGACATCTGCTCCCTTCACAGAACGCTATTCTGTGAACATCCTATCCTCCAGTAAGTCTGCTGCTGTCTTTCCTGCACACTATGAACACAATCTGGCTTAGATCTGAAATGTTGTCTTCGGGGTTCAGGGATGTAGGCTTCAGTGGAAAGGACTTCCTTTGTGGACCCACTCTCCTAATCCTGGCAACTTTTGCTGGAGACCTGGGGCACATGAGTGCAACCCTCAAAGACTTTAGATCTGGTCTGCTTGAGGCTGCCAAACTTCTTTTTTCCTTTTTGGGGGTATATGAGTTGGGATTTGTTTTCTACTTTCATTTATTTATTTTATTAATTATCAGTTTTTATTTATTTTACATCCTGATTGTAGTTTCCTCTCCCCACTCCCTCCCCTCCCTTCCCCTCTACCTGCCGTCCTCATCCACTCCTCCTCCATCTCAGAGAATGGCACAACAAGTTGAGGCAGGACCAAGCTCCTCCCCCTGCATCAAGTCTGGGTGAGGCAACCAGCTTGGGGAATAGGTTCCCCAAAACCAGCTTAAATGCCAGGGACAGATCTTGATCCCACTGCTAGGAATCACACACACACACAGAGAGAGGCCAAGCTACACCACTGTCACACATGTGCAGAGGGCCTCGGTTGGTCCCTAGCTGTTGGTCCAGAGTCTGTGAGCTCCCTGGAGTTCAGGTCATCTGTCCGTGTGAGTCAAGGTCATGACACAGTTGGGAGTTTGTAAATGTTACACTAAAGCTTCTTTTAACCAAACCCTTGTCAAACAAAGTTTTATCCCAAGAAATATGTAGCTCAGAGCCTAGGGCGTTCAGCTATGGTTCTGCTGTCAGAGCTGTCCCTGCCCCTGAGGAATTCCATGGGAGATACTTTGAAAACTCTTTATCTAGACCATGACCCCTGTGGCCTGACCCTGCCTAGCCTTGAGCTTCTGCAAACCTAAGCCTCCAACTACACCTGGCCCTGTTCCCTTGACTGGTTCCTTGGCCTCCTTCCCTATCTGGATCTCTGTTACGAGTAGTTTTTCTGCACCAGCCCCAAATAACACACAGAGACCCTGTATTTGATATAATTCTGTTGGCCAGTTACTAGTTTCTTATCAGCTAGCTCTGTCTTAATTATTAACCCATTTCCATTAATCTAAGGACTTCCACGTGGTCTTACCTTACTGGAGAGAGGGGCTGGCGTTCTTCTCTCTCCGTCCTCCATCTTGGATCTCTCCCTACTACTTCCTCTCTCCTCCTAGCCCCACCTATCTTGCTTTCCTATTGGCCAACAGTGCCTTCATTCATTAACCAATACAAGAAACATGTTTACAGAATGACACCTCCCATCAGATCTCCCCAGTGCACTGCCTCTCCATAGTCCCTGGGGGGCACAGGCTTCATTCCACGGGAGGTGTGGGAGGAGGTTCCTGTTTCTACCTTCAGGTTATGCCTTCTTACCTTTTATTATATGTGTCATCAGACTCTGGACCCTCTCCTTGTCTCAACCCTCTGCTCACCTGTGAGTCCCTCTTTCTTGTCCACGCAAGTTCTCCTTAATACCCGCTTGCCGTCATGCCTCTCACTTGTCACCTTCTGGAGACTGTCTTCCTCAACTGCCCCTCCTCTGCCATGACTAGTAAAATACCCTCCCCATGTTAGAGTGCCACATCACATGCTGCTCACCTTCTCCCTGCAGCTGCCTCAATGAAAGTTCATGACTTCACCCTGCTGCCTTCTGTATGTACCCTCTCCTCCTCCACACCTGTCCTTTTCACCTGCCAATCAACTTAGGGCCACTCTCCATCATTACAACCACACTAGCATGGGCCCTTGGCTTACTCGCTGTTATCTTTGTTTGACTTGTTCACCTAGAGAAAAACAGATCCCATCCAGCTACATGGAAATTTTGGTACCTGAACACAGAAATACATAATGCTGAGGACAGTTCCACTCAGGACCACCAATGTCAAACTGGCCTTTGGTGATACCAAACAATCCTTTCTCATGTCCCTACACCTACTGCAACCCCTCTTTACAACCCCCTCCATATTTCCAGGCTGCCCCTCCCAGGAGCCCTGGGAAAGGCATTCCCCAAGGGAAATGTAAACAGAAGAGAGTTGTCCTATGTCTCCATACCACATCTACAACCTTATAACATACCCCACTGGGTCTCTGAGAGAAAAGCTGGCACCCCATAGGCCTTTTCCTTCCTCTCCTCTCCACCAGAAGGCATGTTAGCTTTTGTACAACTGAACTCTACCCTATGTAAAGCCAACATCCTCAGGGTACCACCAAACCATCCCTTCCTGCCTTCCGAGGAATGTGAGTCTTCCCCGTTCTTTATCACCAGCTTTTTCATCAGATGGTTCGCATCTCACACAAAACTCTTACACCGCGACCACTTTTGTTTTTCTCTGCTCACATTTGCAAGGAGTTCCAAAGAGTTGCTGTACGCGAACCTTTAGTCATATGCAACCACGGCACCTGAAACTGAGTGGTACTGTACACGTAACAACATGAAACATATTTCAAAAATTGAATTTAAAACGAAGGATGACAAATACCTCATTGTTTTTCCTACATGTTCTGATGCTGTATTTTGATGTTGTTGGTTTCGATAAAATGTGTCTCTGTAGTCGGTTTTGCCTCCTTTTAGTTTATTAGCATGACTACCTGGAAGGTTACTCCCTTGGCTCACATTTGGGCTTGCTTGTGTTTCTTTCAGGCAGGGCTTGCTGTTCCCACTGGCCACAGCTTTTGACACTCTCTCCTGGGCCCCTACTAGGCCTTCTCCAGTCACTCCCCAAATCAGATGTTTTCTGGGTCTCAGCGCCTTGGTTGTGGTGAGCGAAGTGGTTAGTTTCCCATGTGTGTCTTTGGCTCTGGACAGTTGATCATGGCCATCCTGCTTTCTGCAGCCTCCATGGAGCACAGTCTCCTGCCCACAATCCACTCCCCATCGCTCGTCTTGTTCTGTGATTGCCTGCACTGTGTGGGAGGACCCTATGATCCAGTCCTTTCACATCCAGCTTCCAAACAGACAACAGCAGAAAACAGTTGTCTCTTTCGTAGACCTTCTTCTGACCTCCAGACACACAATGCCATCTCAGAAAACCACCAGACATACCCCAGGCAGCCCAGACTCAGAGAAGGTGGCAGTAGAATGCGGACGCCTATACCGCCACAGTCCATCCTTCCTATTGCTTCAGCCCAGCTGTTAGTCACCTCTCATTCCTGTCACTCCACACTTCCCAACAGCCAGTCCCACTAGCTCCATCGTAAAATAAACCCAGTATCTGATGCTCACCATCCCCAAAATGACCACCTGGCCTGAGCCCCAGCCTCTGCCTCTGGGCCTCCACAGCTGGCGCCATTGGACTCAGTCTTCCCTCAGACTGAGCCCCTTTCCTGCCCTGGGTTCCCGTGGGGCCCTCCTTCCTATCCAATATCATCTTCCCTCTGTCTTCTCTGTCCTAGTTGTACTGGCAGTGTGTTGGCCCTTAACATCTTACCTTGCATCTCCCAGGATCACTGTCCCAACCACTTCCCTGCCTGGTGTGGTTCCCAGACAGCCACAGAGGCCACACACTCACTTTCTTTGAGCCTCTTCTGAAATGTCGCCAGGGCAGAATTTCTTTCTGAGCTGTCCCCTATTCAAAGACTGGTCTCTCACCCTTGTCATTACAGACCCCTCTCTTTTTCCAAGTGTCACTCTCTAGTTACTGACAGCTCAGATCCTGACTGCCCCTAGAGATGCGAACTCTCAGGGGTCAGAAAACATCTCCACTCTAACCTGAGTGTCTAGAACAGTGCCTGCACACAGTAGGTGCTTGTGTTTGTTAGAGATGTGTGATCACAGACACATTGTCAGAGCAGAAATCTGTGCATTTTAGCGTTGTGCCTTCACGTGTTTTGGTGGGTCCTGCTTGAAACTCTCCCAGTGACCCCTCAGTGACAGCTGTGTGCACGCATGAGTGAGGTGGATTTCTAAGGTTATTTTGTTCCCTGGCACAAATCACACTGGGTTGGTCATCAGGATGGAGGAGCAGGCAGGGAGCTTGTGGTTCCTAGCACTCATGGCAGAGAAGCTGGATTACAACACAGCAGCGATGACAGTACCCAGGAGACAGGGTAGACTTCCCTGCTTTATCCCTGTGCCATGGCAGCTGTGCCAGGACCCTAGCTCACCCAGACCAAGTACATCAACACACTCTGACAGCTAAAGGCTGCCCCTCACCTCAGCCCGCATCTCTGTGGAAAGCGCCTGTGTGTGTGACACACTGGCTGATGGAATGCCAACTTGTAAGCCTTTCACGGGCCTCCAGTGGCCACACCCGTGACAGACCCAGCGGCCTAGGCTGGGTGCTTGGATTGGAGCCCAGCTGAGCAACCAGCTGAGGTCCTGATGCCTCCTCTCTTCCCTCTCTTCCAGGCTTTTTAGTGCAATTTTAGAGCAAGCAACCAAAGCTGACGGGGCCAACGCTCTGGGAGGGAAAGGAGCTGGATTCGATGTGAAGGCGCTGAGGGCTTTCCGCGTGCTTCGTCCCCTGCGGCTGGTGTCCGGAGTCCCAAGTAAGTAGAGCCCGGTTCCTCCACTGTGCTCTTTTCATAACTGCCCCCTTCCCCTTGCCGAGCGGCCAGGGGCACTTTGTGAAGGAGCCTGGTTTCTATGAGAGGAAAGTGTTCTTGTAGACAAATCTCTGATTTAGAGTTGAAGTTCTGGTGCAAATGCACGAAACACGTGAGGCCCAGCTTCTGTAGAAACCCAGAGAATACTTCCACTAGTCACACAGCCAAAAGAAGACAGCCTGCGTAGAGACGGGACCCCTCAGCTGTGTGCATCTTGCATGCCCAGATAGGAATAAACACATTTACAGCAGAGGAACCTGCTACAGAAGGCTAACCCCTAGTCTGCCTTAGCTCATGAGATTAATTTTGCTCTCTGTAGTCTCCAAAAGAAGGTCAAGAAAGCACTGCTAGATTTCTGAAAGCTCAATCCGCAGTCATTTCCTCTTTTCACATCCACGGGGCATCCTCAGCTGCACACAGAGACCTGATACCCGCCATCCAGAAAACAGGTTTCTGCCGGGAAGTGGTTATGGACAGACTTGCTGCCCTCTGGGATATCAGCCTCATGGACACTCCCTCTGAGCTCAGGGGCTTCAGGCACCTCTTGGCTGTAGCAAACCCTGAGCAACCTGCTCCTGGGGAAGCAGCCCCTATACTATCGAGTCTGTAGGGTTCTTTTCTCTCATCCTGTTCAGTCTGTGAATCAGGAAAGAAATCTGTGTTTGTTGGCTAAGATTGTGGATCTCAGGTCGGTATACCAACCTGACTTATGTGACTACATGGCCAGAGGCAGGGAAACAGACTGTCCTTTGAGAAGTATCCCCTCCTATCTGCTCTCTACTGAGCCCCTGAGTTCATTCTCTCTGCTTGATAGCATCTTAGATTCACAAAGCCCAGGAAGCTGCCTAGGGCTCTCCCCTTCTAGTGTGTGTGTAGAATGGGAGGGGGATCTTAATTAACTAGCAGCAGAGTCAGGGCTAGACCTGGTTTCCCAACTGCCCTTTCTGCTGTACCACATCATCTTTAAAGAATTAAGGCTATCGCCGGGCAGTGGTGACTCACGCCTTTAATCCTAGCACTTGGGAGGCAGAGGCAGGCGATCTCTGCGAGTTTGAGGCCATCCTGGTCTACAGAGTGAGTGCCAGGATAGACTCCAAAGCTACATAGAGAAACCCAGCCTCAAAAAGTAAAAAAAAAAAAAAAAAAAAAAAAAGGTTAAGGCTATCATTCTTGGTTGTCTTCAGTGTTTACATGTCCCAGTGTTATACTCTTTATTCTCCTTGGTCTCTGTTCAGTGATTAGACTTCTCTCTAGCCCAGGTGCAGAACTTCCTGAGTAGGTGAAAGCAGGAGGTAGTGCCTTGGTCAAAAACCATGACCAAAAGCAACTTGTGGAAGAAAGGGTTTATTTTAGCTTACAACTCTCAGGTCACACTCCATCACTGGCAGAAGTCAGGACAGGAACCTGGGGGCAGGAACTGAAGCGGAAGCCACAGGGAATACTGCTTACTGACTTGCTGCTCATGGTGTGCTCAACCTGCTTTCTTATATAACTCAGGACCGCCAAACCAAGGGTAGCACATCCTCACCAGCCCACCCACATCAATCATTGATCATGAAACTCCACTAGGACTTGCCGTGGGAAAAACCCATTAAGGTTTTTCTCCCCAGATGACTCTAGCTTGAGTCAAGGGACAAACCAGAACAGGGCAGTAGTTGTTCACTTTGTAATGGATACTCTTGCGGCAGAGCTTATAGAGCATCTCAGACTGAAAAGTAGCAGAGCTGAGCCCCACACACACAGTTAAAACTGCCATTGTCTACTTGGCCTCAACCATTTCACATTATTTATGGTTTATATGATGGCTAACACCAAGCTCCACTTTTGTAATACCTAACGACTTAGTGTTCCTGATTATTTCTGCATAACTCCAAAGAGTGGCATTAGGGAGTAAGATAGAGGCTTACCGTGACTGTCAACACAACAGTAAAGGAGCCTTTGGCAGTACAGCCAATGTGCGCGAGAGAGGAACTGTGAGCTAACCCCAGACTTCTACCACAAAGTTACCGTAGATAGGCTGATTGTCACCCTGTTACTTACATTTTCATTAGGGGCTTGGGACATTACCACATTGTAACGGATGTCAGGGCCTATTGCCCTGGAGGAAGGGGGCAGTGCAGGGCGAGAAGAGGACATCACTCAGCCTTTGCTACAGGAACAGATGATCCCAAGCGCCATATAGGCTACAAGTGGAAACTGAGTATGTGGTTCCCAATGCATAATGGAGAGGATTAGCTACAGCCTTCTGACATGAGCAGCTCTCTGCAGTAGACAGACTCTACGTGGTGTCTAATTCTGGAGCCTCAGCCACAGCACCAGTGGCTGTGCTGTCTTCACGGAAGAAGCAGGTGATTGGAGAAGATGGCCTGGAGTTAGCACACAAATAGTCCCAGGCTGTGCTTGCTCACATTCCATCGGCCAAAGCAGCCATCTAGCTAACCTCAATGGTGGGATAAAAGCATGTAGTCAGTCTTCCATACTGTGGCTCCTCATCAGAGATTTCAAGCAACCGCTGATTTTGGTGAATCACAAATACAGAGAATGGCTCTTCTTTGATCTTAGAGAAGGGGCTTGGCCCGGCCTTTTGTGCTGTCTTAGTTTCTGTTCAGCATTTGAAACAGTGAAATATGAGGCCACAATGAACACATGCAGTGGATTAATACCGCCCCCTTTTCTCACAGAGTTTAGAAGAACTCTGTCTTAGTTTGGGTTTCTAGCCATGCAATGAAACACTATGATCAGAATTAAGTTGGGGAGGAAAGGGTTTGTTGGGCTTGCACTTCCATATTGCTATTCATCATTGAAGGAGGTCAAACAGGTCAGGAACCTGGAGACAGGAGCTGATGACAGTACATGGAGTGGAGCTACTTACTGGCTTGCTCGGCCTGCTTTCTTATAGAACCCAGGGCCAGTGCTGAACAGCTCCATCCATAATGGGCTGGGCCCTCTCCCACCATTCACTAATTAGGAAAATGCCACTACAGCCTGATCTTATGGAGGCATTTTCTCAGCTGAGGTTCCCTCCTTCCAGCTTGCATCCCTCTAGCTTGCATCAAGTTGACATAAACTCACTGGAGTCGCCTCTCCAAGCTGTCACTACTTCTTGTTCTCTCATGTTTTACTGCACACACTTATCCAGGCGTTCTTCTCCCCTGCTGTGCTTCAACAGTAGGGTCTCCAGTGGCCTCTTCTCTGGTCCATTGGCCTTTATCTCTCTGCGCACTGGGTAGTTCTGCATAGCTGACCTTCCCTTGTCCTTGAACCCCTCATCACTTGGCATCTGGGATACTATTTGCTCCAAGTCCTGCTCTTGCTTTTCTTGCAATTCTTTGTGGTTCCTCGTTTTCACCCTCCGTGTCACTGGAGTGCTCCTGGTGCAAACTTTGTGCCCCTCCCCCATCTGCACTCATTCCCAGTTGTCCTGTATTATTCAGGTTCATGGTATCAAATGTCACAGTCTTGTCCTCTGCAGACTTCAGAGCATTAGAGTCACGCATGCAGTTGCAGCTGCATTTTTCTCATCAGATGTCCACTGAGCATCACAAATGATCATGCCCCAACCCCACTCTCCAGCTCCCAGATCCTCTCCCTCCTTAGTAGGTCTTAATACACTTTCCAGCTGTGCTTTTGGAACCAAATACCTGTGACTTACTACTTCCTGATTTTTGTTTATTTATTTTGTTTTGTGTTGTTTTAATTCTTTGCATCAAATACACCAGAAGATTCTATCAACTTTACCTTCAAAATATGTGAAGAGTGTTTCTTGCTGTCTTCATATTCTCTTCCTTTCCTGCCACCATCATCTCTCATCTGCACAGAATTCTCTGCCACCACCTGTACCTCTCATCAAGTGTGTTAATTAGGGAGTGTGTGCGTGTGCGTGCGTGCGTGCGTGCGTGTGTGTGTGTGTGTGTGTGTGTGTGTGTGTGTGTTTATAAAAAGGGAGTTACTAGAGTAGTCTGCAGGCTGTGGTTCAAATACTATAGCAATGTCTGCCTCCTGATAGAAAGGCTAAGGATCCACATTTAGGGTGGGTCTTCCACCTCAAATAATACAACCAAGAAAAATGTTCCTCAGCTGTACCCAGCTGCTTGAGTTTTATTTAATTCCAGATATGGTAAAATGGACAGCCAAGATTAGCTAATACACAGCCTAAGCTGAATGCAGTAGACTATATGGCTCTCTTGAGCCACTAAGTGGCTCTCTTGCCCACTAAGAACCCTCCGAGGTTTCCCGGAAGTCCCAGTCTATGTCCTCTCACCTCCCTCTACCCTTCCCCAGTTCCTGGTTTCCTCAGCCTTGCCACCCCTGTAGAACTCCAAACACTCTGCCAGGGCAAGTGCCATTACTTCTTCCAGCTGTGGCCTTGACTCACATGCTGCTCGCCTTCTCTGCTGAGATATCATTTCCTTCTGGCTTGTCACCGATGCCCTGTGTTGAGTATGACCTTTAATGTCTGTGCCCCATACCGAATTACTGTCTTAATTGTCTCACATCACTTGTCTCTTATGCCATACCAATTATGATTTTATTCATTTGTCATATATTATGGTCAGGGTCACAGTTTACAATATCTTTGTTCACAGCCATATTTTTGGTATCCACAATGGTACATGGGTGTTGTAGAAAGTGTAGACATCATTTCAGACCCTCAGTGAGTGCCATACAGCATAGCTCCCTACATGCTATGAATGTGATGCCTGTATGTATATGTGCTGCATTTATCAGTCCACCAGCTCTCCATGGCAATGCAATTTGTGAGCTATAGTCAGAGACAGGTGTGATATGTGATGTCTAGGGTGCAAGTTTCTTAGAAACAAAGGTTAATTCTATGGTTGATTAAATTGCAACTCCAAACTCCATTGGTGAGGGGCCCCAAAAGCTGCTGCTGTTTTTTAAATATATGTACTAAATGTCACTGATGGGAGATTATGCATAGAGAG